CTCCTGATTGGTTATTACTCTCACTCCTGATTGGCTATTTCCTTCACTCCTGATTGGTTATTACTCTCACTTCTGGTTGGTTCTTACTCTCACTCCTGATTGGTTATTACTCTCACTTCTGATTGGTCCATTTGTAGTACTTCATTTGCATGAAGCTCACTCCTGATTGGGCTATTTCTACAAAGCTTGTTCCTGGTTGGTCAACTTCTGTTATACTTTATTTGCATATGATGTTGCAAAGTGTAAAACTGGCAGCCTATAACAAGCCTGTGTAAACTTACTGACGGGGTCTACAGCTTCAAGGGTTAACTCTTTTGGTGAGCTCTATTGAGCTGGCTGGCGTAGTAAACTTGAGTTTTCTAAGTCTCCGAGTGTTGCTTGGTCTCCTACTCGATCCAGGTTGCTGTCAACAACTGAGTTGTAACACGGAGCTGTAACACACTTTTCCGCAGCAAAAGAGGTTTGGGGTGAGTGATGGAGGGCCTGTTGAGTGAATGATGGGTTGTGTGGGGTGAACAATAGGGGATCTATAGGGTGAGTGATGAGGGTCCACTGGGACAGGAATGGGAATGTGTAGGGTCATGTTGGGATTCTCTGCTGTCAATCATACATCCGTGAATAAACAAAAATCCCCGCCCTTGTGGTTTCAGCATTTCACTGGAGGAGTCAGATATTGAGGTTTTAATTTATATTTCCCTGATGACTACCTTTTCATTTATGTACTGATCACTCGGAGAGCCTCTTTTGTGAGGTGCCTGTTCAGATACTTTGCTCATTTTTCCATTACCTTGTCTACCTTTTCCTTATTAATTTGTAGGGATTGTTTTCGTATGTTCTGATAACATTTATTAGTGACATGTGTTTTGCAACTATCTCCTTAATTCTTGGTTTCATGGCTCTGAATATTAAGATTTTAAGTTAATTTTAAACTATAAAGTGCAGTGTAAGTTTAATGTTTTGCTATTCCTGAGTTAAAAGCCAGACAATGTTCTCTGTAATTTAGGAGGAAGATTAATTTTTTAGGGCCTCCAGAAGCTGACTAAGAGTTACATCTCTGAAAACTGTGGTACCACATCAGCTAGCGAGGAGTTCTCTGCTTTTTGTTTTCTCACCACCTCACCCTCTAATCCCTGGCTGTGTGATCTCAGGCAAGTCACTGTCCCTGTCCAGGCCTCAGTGTCCTGTCTAAGAAATGAGGATACTAGGGCCTATCCTGTGAGGGTTAGGATGATAATTAAATGAGTTAATACCTGATTATTATCTATTCACCATGGTTTTGTAGTACTGATCTTGTATTTATTTCATGGATCATCCATGAAACTCAGCGTCAGAGCTACTCATGTGATATCCAAGGAAATCCAATGAAAGAAATTAAATACCAAGCAATAAGATTGCATCAGATAGAGTTGAGCCTTGGCGGGCCCCAAACCATTGTAATATCTGGGGGCCAGATGTCTGGTTTTTTTTTTTTTAATTTTGGTTTTCTTCTTGCGGGGAGGGGAGGCAGTTAGATTTATTTATTTATTTATTTTGGGAGGTAGGAAATTAGGGTTTATCTAC